GCTTTGTCTTCAGCAGTTGTGTCGGGAAGGTGAGCATCATAGAATGCCAATTTTAAGAGAAGAAAGTATTCTTGCATTGAGGGAGTACTTGAGTGGAGGCCCAATATCCTTCTGCTACCTTAATACTAAACCTATAAATATGTGAACATAGATCTATTTCCCCATCCTTATATATAAATATATTTGCATATGTACATGTAGATCTGATGTTTCTATGTACCAGGTGGCAACCCTTGTGGCAACTCTGGCCTTTTTCTTAATGTGTCCCCCACTGTGCCCAGCAACAAAGCCAATTAAGCAGTGAGTTCCTGAGAATTCTATATGATTGAACCACGGGAAGGCATCTGAGAGCCCCCTTTGGCTGAGCAGCAACAGCAAAATGTAATCCAGGCCTCTAGCCTTGCTCCAATGCCTGAGGGATGATTCCAGGACGGGCAGAAACACCCAGAACTCAAAGTAACACAACAACAACAACAACAACAGCAACAACGTTGTTCTAAACCAATCAAAACGATGCCTGCAGCTCTCAAACACAGGAGAGGACAGGGATCATTTCAAGGTTGGCCAGAGAAGCAGAAATTGCTAGAAATCAGCCTAGAGCCTGATAACCTACCTACTCCTTCCCCCAAAGAGTCAGGTTTTCTGGAAGGTTCTCCATCCCAACACAACAGATGTGAGAGTGAGACTGGGGGTTGGGGCGGGGGGCTGGAGAGGGAGGAAAGGGAGGGGAGGGAGAGGGAGGGATGGACAGAAGCAGCCTGGGCTGCTCTTTTGCTTTCCTGACTGAGGAGGAAGGGAGAAGAACGGAGCGTGATGGGAAGACCTCCTTGGATAGCGTGGAAGTGAGACCAAAGAGACAATACACAACACGAGCCCCCCTTGGAGGGAGGGAGGGAGTGGCAGGAGGCATACAGAAAGCTCCAGTGCAAGCCCTCTCACTTCTGGACAAGAGTCCAGGGCCAACTCTTCGGATTGTTGCTGTCTTTTCCTTCCATTGCCAAGTTGGGGAGTGAAAGTAGCTGCTTGGAGAAACGGTTACATCGGGGAGCTAGGGGCAGGTTGTCTCTGCAATCTAAAGCTCATTAGTACTCACTGAAGTAAGTAATTTGGCATAATAACTCAACTTTCCGACTATGAACAACTTAGAGAAATAAAGCGGAAACCAACCAATCCCCCAACTCCTACCACCCACCCACAGCTCCATCCTCTTTCCCTTTTCCTGCCATTACCCTGTTGTAATCTTTGAAACAAAGCGGACAAACACAAAATACCCAAATTCCAGCTAGAGCTCCAGTCTCAGAGAGGGGTAGGAAAGAGTCCCTGAGCATTTCCCTACACAAGAAAACCCAGTGGGACTGTCCAGACGAAACAACACTACAGTGAACACGGCGGCCTGCCAGCCATGCAAAACCACCAAGGGCAAAAGGGGAAGGAAAGGAGCCGGGAAGATGTAAAGGAAGGAAGGAAACATGCAGGAGG